ACCTGACCTGTGTTTCTCGCGTGGTCAGCAACCGATGATGCTGTAGCACGCCAGTTCGACGTGTTGTTGTCACGTTCGGTCCTCAGACGCTCTCTGTGGTCCTGGATATTGATGCGATGGTTCCAAACTGGAAATCAGCTAACTCCTTCAGTGAGGTTGCACCAGGGAGGACCACGTGTAGTCCAATGTTGTTAGATTGTTGTTCCGGTTCAAGCACTCGAACGCTCGACGGTTGTTGTATTCTTGTTCCAAGTACCTCCTGGATTTGTTGTTGCGATCCAACCACTTATGGACAGGATCGGATTCTTCCACTCGTTGTCAATTTCCTCTTACAAGGATAACCTTTGTATTTAATTGTCGGAAACGTTCACTGCGACCGCATCCGGCTCGAAGGACCANACGTTCACTGCGACCGAATCCGGCTCGAAGGACCAATGTTTTGTCCGTACGTTCGGTTAGTCGCCTAACGTACATGCGCGACCGAACTATTGTACGCTCGATTCGCGCTTCCTACGGCAAATTAATGACGTGGAAGGGTCTCCAGTAGTCTTAGAGAACTTTATTTTTTGTGTTGTACACTCTGCGAGCGCTGGTGGAAGAAAGCTCTTCCAACGCTGGAAAGTCGTGGAAGAGCACCCGTGGATGGAGGTAGATTGTTTATTATTGGTCAAGGCACGAATCACCCCTTGGAGGGGGGTGTCTGCCTTGACCCTTGTTGGGGCCTGAGAGGGTTTCCCCAATGGTGGGACCTTTTTATGGCCCTTGCCTCTGGACGCAACACCCTCTGCCCCGTCTCGCGCTGGCAGGGCACGCCCGGCTACCGAGGCGGTGACCGGCTGGCTTGCCTACGCCCGCACAAAGCGGGCAATTTGGCTTTGCCATACAGCCGGTCACTTTGTGGTCCCGACTGCCGCACCCAAAGCAGCAGTCGGAACGATCCTCGGCCGCAGTGCACCGCTGCCTAGTGTGGCCCAGGCCAAGGCAGCGATAGCACTGCAAGGGCCGGGCGCTGAGGGCCTCCACCGTCGCCAGAGTCCAGCCCACCGTGATTTTGCCCGCGACCGCAACTTTGCGTGCGGCCGCAGCAGGGCACTGGACCCACAGGGTGCCCAAACCAGAGGGGGGAGACCGGATTTCGCTGGTCCTCACATCCCCCTGGTCGCACCCTCCCACACGGGCGACAGCTGTGGCAACCTCCGCCGGCGTGGTCGAGTCGACCAGGCCGCGAACCCTAAGGTCGGCATTCTTTATTGGGTGCGCGACCTTCACGCCGGTTCCCGCGAGCGCGTCCGCCATCTTTGCGGCAAGGGCAGTGGCCTTTGCAGCCCC